GAAAAAACAAATAAGAGACAAATAATCATCTCTGAAATGGAGAATGTGATAAAAAAGAAATAAAAGTGTGCTGTCTATATACTGCCCCATAGCACTTAAAGCACTCTCTGGGTGGTTTACAAATTAATTATGTAGGCTATACATTTCCCCACCCAGCAAACTGGGTACTCAATTTACTGACCTCAGAAGGCTGGAAGGTTGAGTCAACCTTGAGATGGCTACCTGGGACTGAATCTAGGTTGTGAGTTTTGGCTGCACTACTGCAGTTTAATCACTGTGCCATGAGGCTTAACTGATAAGTTTCATGTTCCCTGAAAATCTTCTCTAGTGGATTGGAAAATCCTGCAGAAGAGAATACAAGGTGGTGCTGATAACAGCAGGGAATGGGAGAACTGATGGAAATTATCTTCCCTATTCCAAGCAGAATACCTTGAGCCAGAACAGTGATGGACACAAACTCTGGATCCAGCATTCTCGGGAGAAAAATCAAAAGATTATTTGCGGGGTGTCTCTATAAGTAATCAATGAAAAAAGACATGGTGAATATGAAAAGTTGACCAATTAATACCATATTCAAGTTACCAGGTCCATGGATCTTAAATCCAGTAAAACTCAAACAACACAGGAAAGTACGGAGGGAGATAAGGTATAAATGATGGGTAAGTACAGAATTTGAGAAGTTCTAGAATAAAATATTCTGAATACAAGAAGAAATAGCTAACAAATTCAGCATTACAGCCATGATTAAACTTAATTAAATGCATTTCAGTAATGACTATAGACTTTCTATACTAGAATCTGATTGCCTTTTTACTGAGAGTAACAAAAGTGAAAATCATTGTAGGATGGAAAGAATGATCAACACGAAAGCTTGGCACTGAAAGAGAATGGGGGTAGAGTGAGGAAACAATAGCAATGGAAAAACTGACAGATCCGTTTTAAAGAGGAAGTGGTTAAATAAGATCACTTTCCCCCTTAAAGCATGTAGAAACCTAGTCCATGGAAACAAAATCAACAGAACAGGAAGTACTCCAGGAGCTGATGACGAAGAGACCACATACTCAAATTTTTTATGTTTTCAATTAGTTTAGCCATATTACTACAGAACTGGTTGTTGATTGTTCATTAGGCACAGCGATGCTATGTAACCGTAAAATATCCAGAAAATGTTAATAATTTATTTGTTGCCTTGATTAAGTATGGAAATAATAAGTACAAATGAATAATAAAAAGACTGGCTATTAAAGCAAAACAGACATTCTGTATCAGAGGAAGTAGGCTGTAACCCAGTAAAGCTCACACTGAAATTAATCTGCTTGTCTTAAAATGACACAATATTCTTGATTTTCTTTTGACATTTTGTAAAACAAACATTTTTACAAAAATTGACAACATTTTAAATCACTGCATTAGAGCAGTGGTTCTTAACCTTTGTTACTCGGATGCTTTTGAACTGCAACTCCCAGAAACCCCAGTCAGGACAGCTGGTGGTGAAGGCTTCTGGGAGTTGCAGTCCAAAACTCCTGAGTAACCCAAGGTTAAGAACCAGTGCATTAGAGAGATGTTATTGTTCAGTACACCAAATCAGCATTATACAATGTAATTCTAAAAATGGGGCAGAATAAACCACAAATTGTAACTTTGAAACTGAATTTCCGATCAGCACCAAATTTGACATAGAAGTAACATAGAGTCTGCTCTTGTTCTGTGCCAAATATGAGGAATTTGAGCAAAGGGTTTTCAATTAATGAATTTTTTTTAAAAAAGCAAAACAGTTTTA